AGCTAGCGCACGAAAGTACACGATTTTATTAACCACCAGATCTCCCCTAGGACTCAGCACGCAGCTGAGAATGTAGTTGCGTGCTCTGATGCGATATCCCCATGTTCTTGCGCATCGGACGCCTGATTGGCGCGCTCTCAAGGTCACTGGGGTAACATGCGCAGGCGGGGAGGGGAGGGGACGAAGATGCGTCACACAACCCACCGGCTGCCTTTTAAAGCGATGCATGCCTACTGTTTGGGCAGTGCTCATACTGGCCTATCCCGACAACGTGCATAAAGAGCACAAGGACTTTATTAAACGGCCACCGCGAAGTTGAACCATGGTTTCGAACTGTACAAGACATCCGGACGGAAAATGCAACGACTCCAGGCCCGATGTGGTTGACTTTGCAATGAGCGAGCATATGCTCAACGACTGCCTCTACTTAGTGTACTTAGCTTACACCGAGTATGATGAACCGGAGGACCTCTGCACAACCATCAAACAGCACTTAGATATGAAATATGGAGATACCTGGCACGTCATTGTGGGACCCGAGTTTGGCGCGTAAATCCCATTTACTTAAAATATTTGGATTGAACTGGGACACTTTAGCATATACTTGTAATCTTACTTTAAAATAGCCTAACTATAGTAAGGAGGCACTAAATGAATGTTTCATATCCACTGCATTCCGTTTTTATTTTTGTTTTTGTTTGCGATAATTCCGGTGAGAGCGTAGTCGTAGTACCGAAGCTAGTGTTTAAAAATAACACCTATGGCCACTCGCAAGTAATAAATTTTAAAAAGAGGAAAACGTAATTGCATTTATGCCTTGTTTTATGTTTACATCTCATCACATTGTAGACTCTAAAAGTTCCTTAATGGCTGAAAAAATAAGTTATCTCTCAAACGCTTGTGCTTCTACTAACAGTTTTCGGATTTATATACCCCTCTTAAGTTAATGTCCTTCGCGATTTTTTAAAGTTTCTCTAATGATAGAATTTTGTTTAAACGAATAGTCGAGGAATTTACGCACTACTTAGTCACTGAGGTCTCCTCTCCAGACATTAAACTGACAACCGTCCCTCGGTTTCTTCGGGAAATGAGAAAACACCGAACACGATATGTGAAGGGTTTCGATAGAACCACATCACCAGCGAGGCGCTCCCAATGCTGTTCTAGGCGTGTGTTTATTTTCTACCTCACAAGTATGCATCGCCATAATTTTACTAACGTAGCCAGTCAACCACTTATAAAACTAGCATTGGATTGTACGGTGAAGGAAAATTCTATACAGTGTGGCAGTCGTAGGGTGGCATCAGGACGTTCGCCAAGACGGCAATATCCTCCGTAATCTAGAGTATATATGAAAAATATAACCGAAATTATAAATTACGCATATAATTAGAAAAATATTTTGATTATGATTGTAATATTACTAACCACACTAACAAAACCCTTCAGTCACCTCAGGATGAGGGCTATTGAGGAAATTTCTTTCCGGTCACCTACGAAAGATAAATCCCGGAAAGAATTAGACTTCATAAATGCATGACTACATACATGTAGTATGAACGTTCCTCGATGCACTTCAAGGTCCTTATAAATTCGGATATATTTTTTTGGGAAAATGCATAAAATATTATTTTT